AGAGAGGATCAAGTGAGAAGAATTTGCGGCAGGGCGCCAGTATTAAGACAGAGCAAGCCGACAGCCATGAAGGGAGCCTGAGAGAGAGTGGCCAGAGGAATGGGAGAAGAACCAGCAGGGCAGAATCGCAGAAATTATGGATGGAAGGGGAGAATGATCAGGGATGTAAAAGGGTAGGAGAATATTCCTTTGATGGGAAGCCTTCCCTGATCACCCTTTCTGAAATAGCACATCCCACTCCTGTCACTCTGGCTACTTGAATATCTTAGCACTTACCACCACCTATTTATCACGCCCCCCACCCCCACCCCACTCGCCCTCTCCATTTATTGTAAGCTCCATGAGGGCGAGGAATGGTTGTTTATTTGCTGGTCGTATCCCTAGTGCTAGCAGAGTGCCTGCCCCCACGACAGACCCTTATTCAGTACTGTGGAATGAATGAATGAGTTCCTTGACATGTCCCTCTCCCTTGCCTTTCCCATATTCATCTCCAAGTCTTACATATTTTGTCTTAAAATATTTCTAAAATACCTCATCTCCACTGCCATCTCCCTGGTTCAAATTACCACAATCTCTTGCCTAGACCAGGGATCAGCAAACAACGGCCCACAGGCCACATGTAGGCTGCTGCCATTTTTGTAAGTGTACTGTATTGGAACACGGACACATCCATTTGTTTACGTGCTATGACTGCTTTCGTGATACCAGAGCAGAGGGGAGTAGTTGTGACAAAGAGGCTTGCAAAGCCAAAATTATTTTCAATGTGGCCCTTTACAGAAAAGGTTTGCCAGTCCCTACCTAGGCACTGCAGTAGCCGCCGCAGTGCAACGAGCGGGACTGTTGGACTGTGCCCTTAGCAGTTCATTCTGGGTTGCCTGGAGAATGAGCTGGCTGTGGCTAGGGGTTCTCCCTTCTCCTAGAGGAGGGGGCTGCATCCAGGCTTAGATCCCCTGGAACCAGTGTCTTCACCCCAGCAGTAGAGATGATAACATTCCATGGGCAGCTGGCATTCCTGGACAACTTCTATAAGCCACTATCACCCCAAATCCAAACTGCCTGTTGTTCAGCAGCTTGTGTATTCCTCCTTTGACAAGACTGCTTCTTCACACTTGCCCTATAGAAAGGGGGTCTAGAAGGTGGATATGTTCTTCTTAGTGAGACCAAACAGTGCTCTGGCTCTTGGCTTGCTTCTCCATGGGATGACAGGAGAATGGAGGGTCTGTGCCTTCTTTTTTCTAGCTGTCCTGGCCCTATAAATTTTTATTTTCCCCAGTAAAACCCATTACTTAACCCACAGTGTGGCTTTGTGGAACTCACCCTGGAGGCTACTGCATGACACCCAGATAAGATCCATCTTACCTGCCAATGGGGACCCCAAAGGGACGACCCAACACAACAGCCTCCTAATTGACGTCCTGCATCCATGTTGACTCTCTTCCAATTTCTTCACCCTGCAGCTAGAGTGGGTCTTTCTAAACAAACCTGTCATGTCTCCCATTCCCCCACCCCACCCCAATTTACAACACTTCAGTGGCTTCCCTTTGGTCAAAAATAGACCAAAATCTTTAACATGGCTTAATAAGACCCAACAATGACCTGACCCCTGCCTTTCTCTCCAGCCTTATCTCCCACTATTCTTCTCCCTCTGAGCTCCAGCCAATCATTTTCTCAGTCACTTGTAAACATTCTCCTTCCTGCTCTTGGGCACATCCTCTTTCCTCCGTTGAAATGTTTTTGCGTAAGTAATACCTACTCTCCAATCTCAGTCAAATGTTACTTCCTCGTAATACCTACTCTCCAATCTCAGTCAAATGTTACTTCCTCGGGGAAGCCTTCCCTCAACTAGGAATGTTACCAGAGCATCATGAAACTTCGTTGAAATTTTACAGTGATGATTTTTGGTTACTGTCTGTTTCCCCCACTAAACCATTAGATCTATATGTCTCTTTTTGGTCACCAGTGGCCTCGTTTATAGTGCCTGGCATAAAGTGGCTGCTCAATAAAATTGGTTTAACACTGTAAGTATAGTGTAGAAAGAAGCTAGGCCCTAAAGACTACATATTGTACAATTCTATTTATATAAAATGTCCAGAAAAGGCAAATCTATAGAGACAGAAAGTAGGTTAATGGTTGCCTAGGGCTGGGGGTGGGAATGGGGATTAAGTGTAAACTGGCGTGAGGGGTTTTATTGAGATAATGTTCTAAAACTGTACAACTGAGTAAGTTTACTAAAAATCACTGTAGTGTACATTCAAAATGGGTGAATTTTTATAGTATGTAAATTATCCCTCAATAAAGGTTTAAAAATAAAAAATATGTTAGTTGAATAAAGGAGACTATAGTTATTGTTGGAAATGGGACCTGTATCTTGTGTTAAATGTGTATCCATGTTTCTGGACTTTGTAATCTATACCACGCACCCTATACCACACTTTCTTAATTATTGTTCATGGGTATATGCTTTAATACCTGGCAGTACATGTCACCCCTTGTTAGTATTCTTTTAAATCTATTTTCTGGACTTTTCTTACTCTTTGAGTTGAAATAATTAGACTTGGTATGTCAGAAAGTTCCAGGTGTCTCTACGTACATTTGAGGAAGCAGAAATAGATAGAAGGAGCTTCTCTTATGACATAAGACACTAAAATCAGATTTGGGATTCCTACGAAGCACATTTGCTAGGGATCAAGAGTCCTTAATACATAAGGACATTTGTAACACTGAGCTAGATATTTTATGACTGATCTGGATTTGCTCTGATTTCAGACATAAGATGCAATATTATTGGGATGAGAAAAGTTTTAAAGGTAATCTAAATTTTTTGTATTAATAACTTTAGTCCAAACATCACCAGAAACAAAAGTCCAGTACCTCTCCAGTAGCTCTCTGGTCCTGCCGAGCCCTGCTGGGTGGACTGTCTGCAGTTAGTTTGCATTTACTTGGAGGCAGATCTGAATAAGGATGTTAGTTATTTGGGAGGAAGCAGCAGCGACGGGGCAGGGAGAGTGAGACAGGGAATGAAGAAATGATACTAGGACGCGGTTCCCACTGTGGGCAATCCTAGCTGAGGAACCATGTCGAATTAGCCTGAGAACTGTTCCTCTGAGGACTCAGACATTTATCAGCTGCCTCCTGCCCCCTTTGGTTGAGCGTTGCCCTGGGGACATTAACTCCTCAGTGCTCTTGAGGGGCTTCCAGGACCTGGAGAAAGCCCTGAGGCAGAAAAGGCAGAGTGTGTGGGACCTGCTTGAGGTAGTGTTGGCAGGCTGCCTAAAACCGTCCACCACAGCAAAGCTGAAATCAACAGTGGTCGGGGGATGTAACTCAGGCCTGCATCCAACAAGAGGGCAAAGGGCATCTTTCAAATGAAACCCCATAGAAAACTGCACTTCTGATGACATAACATACGATTTTCAGTACAATTTCATATAAACTTTTTTTTATTAGTGAAACATTCATTGCATTAAGGATAGAAATATACATATCAAGAATCACATGAAATGAACCAACTATATAAGCTACATGAAGAGCATTCTGGTCAGTATTCTCTTTAATAGCCACAAGCAATTAATTCCAGTAATAATGCCTAGAGCGCCAAGTATGAAGGTCACCTTCTGCAGAACTCATATCTTGGGCAATTTAAATAAAAAAATTAGCCTCCCTTAAGTAAAAACCCCAATAGGGGTTAGTCGTATAGAACTTGCTCCACTTGACCGTTAGTGATCTTTCTAGAACAGGAAGGAATAAAGTCTAGCGGGAGAAGTCTGGAGCTAAAAGTGGCAAAGCCCATTTTCCCGTCCTGTGTTCAACTCTCAGTTTTCCCTGAGAGAAGTGAGGTAACCTCTCTCTGACTTGATTTCTCCCTAAGTTGAGTATCATAGTACAGGACGCCCGTATTCTGTGACTGCGACAATCCTGACAATCACAAAGACTTTGAGGGCCTTTCCAGGAGAATGGCTCCAAGAGAATGAGCATGAGGAATAGTTTGTTATTTTCAATGTAAAACCAAATAGGTACATTCTTTCTTCTTAACTAATCTATAATCTTGACAGCAGTTTATGGGTTTGCCACAGACTTGCAGAAGGAAAATATCAAATGTATTTTCAAGCCAAGTAAATATTAAGAATCATGACATGGATATGGAAATAATATGTTTTTGGTCTCCCTGCCTGTGTGAGATACAGTGAAAGTGTACGTCATTAGCTGTTATGTTATCATTCATAGTATTCAAAAATTTCTCCCTTAGATAGTTATATCCTAATAACTGGACGAACCAGTGGGTGTGCACTGGCTCATCAGTTTTATTAGTGTGGATAAGTGGATGCATAGAAGAATAAAATATGCTAGTTATCTAGTTAAATATTGAGAAATGAAAAAAATCTAGATATTTGAAAGACAAAATATTTTGATTCAGTTTCTCACATTTTGGTGATTTAGGGTATCTATAGGTTCTATCTTAATTTACAGAGAAGTTGAGAGTTTAATGAATTGCCCCTTGAAGAAGGGAAACATATCACAAGTTGCGTTAGCGTAGAGAGAAGGAAAATCAGGGCAAGTAAACTAAAAGGTTCGTTACCTCCATCCTGGGATCAGAAGCTACGTTAGTGAAATCCAGGGATTTTTTTTTTCTTCATTTGCTTACAATGAAATCCAGCTTTTTAAAAAAATCTCATAGAATGATTCAGTTAAGAAATTCTATGAGCACTTTGCCAGATAACTGTATAGATTTCTCAATCAAAAATGAATAGTGAATTTGGAGAATCAAAGAAAATGCCCTTAAATATGCGTGACTTCTGTGACATAGGATGGTTCCCAATCCTCTGACTTAGGTTACACTGATAGCCAAGAGGTCTTCTGAAGAGAGGTGGCTCTGATGCTGGTCCTTTCTTTAAAGGGACCTTTCTTTAAAGCACTTTCTGTGCAGTATTTGAAAATTATTCTGTCAGCAAAATGATTGTCACAGGAAGTATAGGACACATGTCTCTATACAGTGAGTGACAGGGAGCCAGAAAACATTGAGTCTGAGGAAAAAAGAACAACTTATAAAAAGAATTTCAAAGTTACCAAGAAGACTGCCCCCCAAAAAACGTCTCTTCAGTGTGGTCAGACTTCCTGAAATTTATATGTAACTTAGGCTGTAGATGGATGGATTTCCCATATTCATAAATAATTTTACAAATAATCACTCAATAGTATTGTAATTACTACAGCATCGTATTTGGCAAGGGTGATGGGGGGGAATCAGTGGCTGATTACATTCTCCAAACACCTTTCCACACATCAAGATCATTTTGACTAAAAAAAATAACAAACTATCCACAAATGTCATAACTAGCATTTAGTTCTACTCTCTATGAAATATCTGTACTTGTCCTCACCAACATTATATATGCATTCTCCCAATTCACAAAACTACAAGTAAAAAATCCTCAGGTTTTTTAATCAACTATCAACTCACGGGCACCCCCCACCAAACACCTCCCCCCACCCAAGCCCGGCCCCAGTGGGTTCCTACCCATAGGAAAGTAGTCGGAACACGGAATCATTTTCCTGGAGGAATTTCGAACCAAAGATTAGCATGAAATGAAATATGTAATTTTTTAAAAGACTAAATCAGCTGCATTTGAATGATGTACTAACTGAGGCTACCATTTTACCCTGGGTTCCAAACTCTCATTTACTTCTGCATTCAGGATGAAATGAATGGAGGAACAGAACATAAAATGGTATGTATGTATTTTAAGCACAAAGTCTGGTGAACGAGGAGGCATAGAGAATAAGGTTAGACCAAGTAGCATTAACAAGCGATGCAAAGACATTCTAACCACAACAGTGGTCACAAAATTCTGGAGCTACCAGCACCCAACAACAAAAAATATTACTATACAAGAGTTTATTAAATACTTGCTAGACAGTGAAAAACAAAACAATTTGTGAGGGACCACAGGATTTTATAAAGCCTAATGGCCAACCATGTCAGCCTGTTGTAGTTTAATTCCAGCCGGAATGCTCTCATCACTTGCCAGCTCTGGGTCTTCTCGCCTTCTCTCTACAAGAGGCAACAAGCCTGTGAGGACGCAGACAGTTTCCCCACGTCCTGGTTCAGGTGAGGACAGCTCACACGGTTCCTTCACCAACCTCTGGCCGTGATTAGGTTCGTATGAGAGGCGCTCTTTCATCTGCAGTTCCCTGTGACTCAGAAGAGAGAGGACAGCGAAGTTAGGTGTCACGTCAGAAACTTGTCCGCAGATGTGAAAAGCTGAGGGCAGTGGTGGAAGGAGGAGAGTGACAGGAAGGCAGTCATCCCACACACCTCTCTCTTCTCTCAGCCTGCTTCTTGCTCTTTCTTTAACATTTAGCGCCAACCTTCTTGCGGTGGCCTGCTCTGACCACCCCCTGCCCAGTGCAGGAGCAGCACCCTCACTGTGCTGACCCAGACTATAACCCTCATCACACTCTATTGAATTCCCCTCCTTCCTAGTTTCAAACCTACCAGAGAACAATGTCTTGGAGGTGGTGGGTGCTCAATAATTGCTTTGTTGAATACGTGAAGACGGTTAACTGTAGGAGCAGTAATAACATGGACATGGGCTTTCTTCTGTGCTTGTGAAAATCTCAGTGACTGCACAGTGTCAGACTGGAAGTAAGATCCACAGATGGGAATGGCAAAATAGGTGCCTCACACCTAACGTGACGGCCATGGTTAGGAGACACAATGGAAGAAAGTGGAAGGCATGGAAATCCGAGCTAATGTTATTCAGATGGTTTCCGCCTATTTCGTTTCCTACTTCACATTTGCCTCAGACACTCAGTTGAGGCAGCTAGGAGGAAAACAAAAAGCCTTTGCTGTAAAAAGGGAAACTGCTGAGAATTTAAGTAAGGCTTCTACAGAAAAGGCTCATTGAAGGTATTTAGGCCCCTGGGTTGGCCTGCTGGTCACTTAGGGAGGCCAACCGGACTCTGTTTATCCCATCCATTTGGGGTTGTTCCCATCCTTCCAGGAAAGTAACTACCCCCCCTGCGCCAATCATTCAATATGCAATGATGACTCAGTGGCAGGTGTGTTCTGATACATCAAGGATTCTTTCCAAGCAGGTCTCTCGCTGCCATGCTCTCTAATCTTGGAGCAGTTGTATCAAATAACTAATATTTACTGAGCTCTCACTAAACGCCAACACTGGGCCAAGTGCTTTATGTATGCTGCATCACCTATTCCTCACGAAAAACTCCTAAGGGAGGCTCTATTATTATCCCATTTTACAGATGAAGAAACCGGGGCACAGCTTCTATGGTCACCCAGCTATTAAAGTGGCAGAACCGGGATTTGAACATAGGCAGTCTGACACTGAAGCCCAGGTGCTCAGCTGTAATATATTCTTCTTTCAGGTTATTTTCAAAGATGTAAAGCTTACAGGGATTCATTCCCACCAAGAGGGCCCCCAGTACTGGGCAGTCCCATTCTATCACCCTTCCTTCTTTGACACACTTGTCTTGCTCCTCATTTGGTCCAGCAGTAATCATGAAATCACTGCGCCCAGCATAAAATCTCAAAATCCACCCGAATGAGCCAGCTGACAGCCCTTCGAGGCACAGCTGAATTCCTCAGGGAACGCTATCCAGTGAGGGAGAAGTCCTCCAGCCACTGCTCACCTCATCCAAGGATCCCTGTCCTCTGCATGCAAGCCAGGTGAAGATCAAACCGAAGAACACGCCCAGCGCCATGACAATGTAGGGGATGTTGGTGATGATCAAAGCGGTGTTAATTACCGACTTCAGCCGACTCGCAGTCTCTTGATCAATGAGAACACTCTGGGGCGGGGAGGCAAGAAAATAGTATTCCCCTGATTACTAAATATCCAGGGGGTAAAGTTTCTTTCTATATCTTCCTTCCAAATCATTAAACATAATTTGGGTATGTCCTCCTCTTAGCAAACCAGACATACTGAAAATCCATTCATAAATTAGAGCAGCCAGGTGAGGCATTTATTCATACACATCTTCCCTTTGCTCCTGAAGATGTTTTCCTCTCAAAATAGGTTGGAAAACCCACCAACTGGGAGAAAATATTTGCAAATCATCTATCCAACAAGGGGTTAATCTCCAAAACACATAAAGAACTCATGCAACTCAACAACAAAAAAACAAACAACCCGATCGAAAAATGGGCAGAGGATATGAACAGAAATTTTTCCAAAGAAGATACACAGATGGGCAATAGGCACATGAAAAGATGCTCAACATCACTATCATTAGGGAAACGCGAATCAAAACTATAATGAGATATCACCTTACACTGTTAGAATGACTATAATTACCAAGACAAACAACAACAAATGTTGAAAAGGCAACCCTCACACACTGCTGGTGGAAATGCAAACTGGTGCAGCCATTATGGAAAACAGTATGGAGATTTCACAAAAAATTAAAAACAGAAATACCATATGACCCAGTTATCCCACTACCGGGTATTTATCCAAAGAACTTGAAATCAGCAATTCAAAGAGACTCACGCACCCCTATGTTCACTGCAGCATTATTCACAATAGCCAAGACGTGGAAGCAACCCAGTGCCCAACAACTGATGAATGGATAAAGAAGATGTGGTATGTATACACAATGGAATACTACTCAGCCATAAAAAAGCAAAATCATCCTATCTGCAACAACATGGATGGACCCTGAGGGTACTATGTTAAGTGAAATAAGCCAGATAGAGAAAGACAAATACTGTATGATTTCACTCATATGCTGAAGATAGATAAACGCATGGACAAAGAGAACAGATTAGTGGTTACCAGAGGGGAAGGGGGTTGGGGGGGTGGGCATAAGGGGTAAAGGGGTACATATATATGGTGACTGACAAATAATAAGGTACACCTGAAATTTCACAATGTTATAAACTATTATGACCTCAATAAAATAAAAAATAATAATACATATGCAATAAAATAATTCTTTGGAGAAAAACACAGGTTGGAAAAGGGAGGGAAAATATTCAGAAATATTGAGATAGTATCATTGTTTTGTATCAGATAACTCCAACTCATTCTTCAAACTCCAGCTAAGCATAACTTCCTTCTAGAAATTTTCTCCAGCCACCTCAGGCCTAGTCAAAGGCCCCTTTATGTGCTTCTCACTGAGTCTCTAAAATCTTCCATCACTGTCTTCACACTCTGCATTCTAACTGTCTGTTTACCTGTCTGTCTCCTTGTGACTATGAGGTCCCTGAAGGCAAGATTTTTATGTGTCACCTCAATAGTGGGTAGAGCATCCTGTACACAGTAGGTGCTCAATTAATGTCAGCTGATTAAATGAATGAATGTATGGAACATTCTAACAATGGTATGTGGAAAAGTATAATTTCTCTCTTGTTTAGATCTATACTAATCAGGACCAAGGTCTAGATAGAAAGTATTCAGGGAAGTCTTGAGGCTAACCAGAATTCCAGAGGGTGTTGACAACCAAGGAAATGTTCTAACAGCACTTTTTGTATGCAAGGCAAAGGTATTATCACCTTAAACTGTCATGGGTGAGATATCTGGAAAGCTTAATTCCATAAAAGTTCCACGCAACAGATGAGACTTTAGCTTAATTTAGACTCAATGTGCAACAGACTGAGGCAGAGGGTGGGTTCCAGGGCTGCTTCTTCCAATCAATGGCTGAGTCCATCAGGGTCAGAGTTTCTGCCTCTGGAAAAAGGAGATGGGAGAAGAGTCTCCAAGCCCACTCCCAGGTCTAATGTCTTATTTTTCTAGAGTAGAGAGAAGTCAAGTACTTCTAGGAGGCACCAAAAGCACAGCTTTCATTCCATCGTTCCCAGGACCAAATCTAGTCTTCAACAAAAAGCAGAGCAGAAGATGGGGTGGAGGGGACTTCAAATATGCCACAACTAGGAAGAGAAGCTGCCAGAACAGGGCCATTCCTCATTTTCAACAAGCTCTGCTTTCACACCCCTCTCCACAGACAATAACCGTGATGACCCAGGAGGTCCTGTAAATTGATAAAGCTTGCCTGAATTTTTCCTATCAAACAATAAAAGCCTTGTCTTAGAACTGTAATCACAAACCCTTCAAAAGTTTATAAACGTGGCTACCAATATAATGCCAAATTTAAAAAAAAAAGCTCTAAAACTGTATCTACAGTATGGTCCCAACTACATAATATCAAAACCAGAGAAACAGTAAGAGGCAACGGAAGCAGATGTCAGCTGTACCTGTCTCTGAGGGACAGGCTTGTCAGTGACTCACTTTTTAAATATTTTTAAATTCTTTTTTAATTGAGGTCTGACATATTATATTAGTTTCAGGTGTACAAGATAACGATTCCATGCTCATACAGTGATTCGCTTAGTAAGTATTTTTTAAATTTCCTAAGAGTTCTATAAAGACCACAAGTTAGTTTTACAAACTGTAAAACATTGAGTGATTTTTCACAAAGTCATTATCAGCAAAAATTTTACAACACATTGTTGAGAAAATAAAGCAAGTTAAAGACAATATGTCAGTCTAGCTCAAGTTTTGTGAAAAGTGACTTTTATTTTCCCTTTTCTTGCTAATCTCTGTTACTAAATTTTCTAAAAAGAACAAGTATTTTTAAGGAATAGAGAAAAATAATAAAAACTTTGAAATACGCAGCTGTTAGCAACAGAAGCCAGCCAATCAAGAATTTATTGAGAGGAAAAAAGGCTGCAATTTAAAAAAAAAAAAAAAAAGGCTGCAATTTTCCCCTCAAAACTGGGTGGAAGAGAGAGGAAAATTAAGGAGACAGAACTACATACAGTAAATGTGATATGTAATCTGGAAAAGAGTTGATCACAAGTATCTTAAATAGCAGGTGTTTCCTGAGCTTTCAGAATATGCTTTTATTTATAAAACTTCAACTTATACATAACATTTATGGATAAAATTTCTGTAGGTACACTATGAAAGAAATAATTCTTCAGGGAAACTCCTGTTGTTTCAACTAAGACAAGAACTGTTTCCTAAAATTCATGATATATATTTGTTTACCAGAAAGTAGGAAAAAACTCTGTGCTATGATGAAGGATAAGGCAACCAGTATCGCTGAAACCAGTGGGCACGTATTGTGATTTATTTAATCACTTCTTCAACCATTTATTTAATCATTGCTTTAACCAATTTACATAAAATTTTCATGTAATGCTGCAAACCATTTTAATTTTACTCTCTTTCCCTCCTCCTCAACAATGATCGGTAAACTGACTGCATTTTACAAACTGGCAGGGTTTCAAAGACGGAGGAGACCCCACGAGAGGCTGAACTGGACATCTATCCGAGGCTATTTATTATATGGCTATTGATTTACATTATGTTTCTCACATAACCAGCTTCCCAGAAAGGAGTTTTACCCAAATAATGTTCTTGAGAAGGGAAATTTCTTTCTGCCATTTTCAAATCTCATGGAAGGCCACTTCATGTAAACATACAAACAGAAGTTTTCTGAGGACAAGCAGGTTTTTAAAAATCCCCTTTCCCCTGTCTCACATCTTAAGTTACACGTAGCTACAATAGTGGACATCATAAGGGAAGTTTCCCAAGCTTCCACAGCTAAAACACACCCGGGACTCCCTCCCAGGACTTACCTCATTGATATACATCACGGGGAAAACCAAGGTTCTAATGTTTCCTGTTTCACTACAAAGACAAAAGATGAGATTATTTTCTAGACATCTTCATTGTAATGGCACACTGGTCTGGAAAGATAAGTTTATATAAAAACTCCAGCACACATTTCATTAAATTAACCAGAATTGATGCAGACTTCTTAATTATCTTTGCAAACACTTACCAATCAGAAGTTAGATTCCAATTTGTCAGTCTGACAATTCCAAGTCTGGCACATTTACGTAAAGTGTTTTTAACTAAACACAAGATCCTGAGAGCAAATTCATCAAAATGATTACTATTCTCCCAAGAGTTATCAGAGAGGAGGCAACAGCCGCCAGAACAATGCTGCCATTCCTCAGAATCTTTTGTAATCAAGCCACTAAGTGTCGTCTTCACAGAGCCCAGAGCAACCACTTCCCGAGCCTTTGCCAGGCACCAGCTCTGCGCCTGGCGTTCCGTGGACTTATTTCGTTTAATGCTCACAGTAGTCCCATGCAGTAGATATTACTATCCCAGGTTTAAGATGAAGAGATGATGGCTCAGAGCAATTTGCCGACCACCACCACAAGTAAGTGGTGAAGCCTGGATTGTAATTCCATTTTGATTCTACGGCTCTAGATCTTAACTACTAAATACTGCCTCAGAAATGCAGACACAGGTGACAAAATGCATTCTTTTTTTTTTTTTTTTTTTTTTTTTTTTCATTCTGTCTGTGGGTTTTATTTCTCACAGCAGCCCAGTGTCTATTTAACATACGGGGAGTGGTTTCAAGTTCATTACTACAGCTTATAGGCTCAAGTGCTTTGTGGGCTTGGCCATGACTTGAGTTGCCTTTAGGGAGCCGGCCAAAGACGGGGCTTGGGAACAGACTGCTTTCCCTGTGTCTGTGCGTTCTCAGGGTAGTCACTTTCTCCCCCCCTCTCGGCTATCAGCTGCTTTGGAGATTAGTTTCATAGCGAGGATTCTTTCTTTAAAGCAATATGAAGCGACTCCTTTCCCAGGGGCTCCAGGTTAGTAAATGACATTTTGAACTTTCTGCTGCATGTGTCAGATTTCCTTTCTGTGCTCGCGGGGCGATGATATGACAGTCGGCATTGCATTTGTTCTGTTGCTGCATTCTTTTAGAAAATAATGCGAGTTCGTTGATCCTATCGAGGTTTGGGGGGTTATGATTCTCTTTATAATATATGCACTGTTTGACAATGTTACATGCCAGTGGAAGCCAAGCAGAAATGTGTTGGATTTGTGTTTAGAGATTTGTACTTGCTTGTAAGCATTTTCAGTTCCTTCTTCAGAATTACTTTCTCTCTGTCCTCCCACTGAATCTTCTAGGCGTAACTCTGATTTTATACCCAGGTGGTTTTGGATTTTTTGGACATTAGGCAGCCGTGTGTTGCCCTCCAGCTAGTGGTGTTGTCCCTCACACTCGTGCGTGCTCGCCTCGTGCACGGTTTTCTCTTGGGCCTACTCCTTACAGCTACGATGAACCAGAATGTCATTTTCATTTTCGAAAAGTCTGGCATTTTTCTAGAATGTCTCATAAAATGCCTGCATCACAATTGATGTGGGCAGAGGGGCAAGTGGATCCAACTGAACTGAATCCCCTCCTTAGTCGTCACTGTTTTTATTCTTTTTTTTTTTTGACAAAATGCATTCTTACAAACCACATATGCTTCCTGGAAAGATTCATGACATGTGGGGTTAAATCTGGCAAATGTGATGGGGAACCAACCAAGTTTTATAGATAGATAGCTAGTTATGATGGAATAAATGAAAAGCAATAAAACTAATAAGGAAAGTTAATACACTGAGGTATATGAGGAAGCCATTTTGGTTTAAAACTGAATCAGCCTGAACTTTTTCCAGAATGGCCCGATACAGCCCGTGAAGCCCGCATTGCACGTCTGCTTTAAACAGTGAAGAGTCTCTCAGAGCAAGGAGTGCTGCCTTTAAAGACAGGGACAAATGCCTCCCTCCCATATCAGGATTTCTCTCAAGATCAGCATCCCTTCCCCAAAGCCATGGTCAGAGTGACCTGCTGTGTGCACCGCAAAACATCCTGTGACTGCAGGAAAGACAAAGCAAGCATTCCTGTCATGTGTGATGTACGCTCCCTGTTCTGAAAGGGTATATAGCCATTTCTCCTCCGTGCTTTCTTCCCTGGTGGAGAGAGTGCCTCCGGACCATGGTCCTCCAGCTGACTCACACAGTAAACTCACCCCGTTTTTAATCTATAGATTGATTATTGGTTACTTGTGTCGATGGTTAGATAGACTACAGATAGAAAGAATAGATAGATAGAGACATATGATATTACATATAGTTTTACATCCTGTTTTTTCATACAACATTAAATCATAAGCATTTTCTCATATCCAAAAATTCCCATTGCAAAGTTTAAGCAGAGATTATACTTAGGAATCCTAATCAAGCAGTGCTCTTCGGAGGGAGAGCGGGAGGAAGGGCTAGACTCAGCACACTGTTCTAACTGTCCGACTGAGAGCTCGTGGCTGGCCCTGGGTGGGAGCAGCAGGAAAGAAGGGAGGGGAGGCAACAGAGTCCCGGCGAGGGAACTGCTTGGTGCCCTGGGGAAGAGCAGACTCTGGCCTTAAGAGCTGTGTGGGTCCTGGCAAGTTATTTAACTTCTCTGTGCCTGGGTTCCCTCATCTGTAAAATGGGGATAATAGAGGGTTATTGGGAAGAATAAATGAGTTAATAGATGCAAAGTACTTAGAACAATACCTGATCCACCGAAAGCACTCTATACATGTTTGGTTAAATAAAATAAGTGAATTCCAAGACCGAGGCAGCCTATGAAAATGCTGATCTCACCTCATCCTGAAGGGCAGGGGTGAGCAGAGTTAGGAAGTGGGCTGCACCCCTCCCAATATCGACCCTACTAGAAAGTCAACGTAGCAAAATGTTTCTACCCTCTGCCTCTGTAGAAGGAAGCAAAACTTACCTAAACTCATCTAATTTTCTGACATAAACGTTGATTTGGAACCTCTTGGCAGCTCTTAGGATAACGCCAGTCAACTGTAAATTAGAGAAACGGAAAGACAACATTAGGATTTATTAAAACCACAAACACAACTTTTTTCAATAGAGCATCATTTACGTGTGGTTCTGATAAACAGGGTGGCCACCACCACATCTGATAGAGTGGGACAAGGACAAAGCGACCTCAGGACAGAACAAGAACTGTGCCCTGTGTTGTGTTAGGTGCCTGGTAGAGGAATGTTTCTCAAGCTTTACTATGCATGTGGGTTCTTGGGGACCTTGTTAAAATGCAGGTCCTGATTCAGTGCGTCGCAGGTGGGGCCTGAGACTGAGCATTTCTAACAAGCTCCCAGGTGATGCTGCCACTTTGAATAGCAGAGCCCTCGAGAACCCCAGCAGGAGGGGGATCCAGCAGATACCTTGTCAGCTCTGGATATCTCTCAGATGTCCAGAGAGCTAAGAGGATGGTGGTCACAGCTAGAGAATGGTGCCCAAGTATGGTCGGGGCCCACCCAACAGGGCAGGGAGGGTCAGGTGCACTGGTGGCCATCGTCCCCGTGACAGCTCCACCTCTGCGCTAAGGTTATGGGGCTGCGCCTAGCCCTTGGGGACAAGCACCTCCTAACAGTTTGGCTGATGAAAAGGAACTGACTGATGGCTAAGAGAGAAAAGGGAAAAAAAACCACTCCAGATCTTATTCACAAAAAGATACGACCACCAGTTTCTTAGACACAAATGCAATGAGTGGAGCTAACAGCCAAGTCCCCATGCATTGCTGTGCTAAAGGACTGTTTTCACTTTTCTTGTCTTGTGCCATGTGTTCAAAAGCCCATGAACGAAGATATCTGACCTTTAGTTCAGTTCCTACAGTAAGGGCTCTCACACTGTGAAATGCCATTCACATCCTTTTTAACACGGTTTTACTTTTTCTCCTCTGTGAATACAGGATTAAAGTACATGCATATCTGATACCTTTTACCTTAACATAAGAAACTCTCAAAAGTTCCTGTAGAAAGAGGTTTGCCAAAAGTGACTGAAGCTAATATACATATTTAAATTTCAACTACAATACGCCTGGCAAAGCAGAGGAACGTCTTCAACCTTGCTGATCTGTGCCCCGATGGGACAAATGCATGTGTTCAGGTCCAATCTTCTTCTGGCGACAGAAGGTGGACCAGGTCACGCGGGTCCAGTCTCAGTTGTTTCTAATGATGGAACTTTCACTGTCGCTTGCTTGTTAAAGCAGGTTTGCTGATATTTCTGCATATCAGATCCACAGAATCCAGCCTTCTAACCACAGGGCTCTGAGGCCACACACCACATTGCACCGAGCTGAGCTTCCTCCACGCGAATGTAGATGAAAGGAATTTTCATTTTCTTATGAGTGCTCAGGACTAAACTGGGGAACACCGTATAGACAGACAGAATAAAACACACGCTCTTTCACCAGGAGGACGCGTGTACTCACAGGATTAATGTCCACAAATGTCTCATGGTAGTCCTTGTTTGGATGCATGCCGTCTATGGCAGAAACAAACTTCTCATCTGCTTGGTAGAAGTGTGGGAAAGACATAACAATAGGTGCACCTGCGTGTGAAGGAAAACAGAGATGAGGGTGTGGCTCTTAAGAGTCCAAGATGAAGACAAAGCTCCTGACCACAAACCTGCTTCCCAAGGTGGGGCGGAAAGTTAGACATAAACAAACCTGGGTGGGGAAGAGGGGCAGACCGCAATTCCATGCCACACTGCCTAGTCTGGGACTTACACTGCATTTCCTGACATCTCATTCACCCCCACATCATTTTATCCAACAATATACACTGAAGTCCTGGCTAAATTATTCTTCAACAAACATTTGCTGAATCTGTAAGATGTAAATGCTGTATGCACATTATTTTAATTAACGTCCCCAGCAGCCCTATGAAGTTAGAACCATTATCTTCATTTTCCATTTGAGGAAAGTGAGGTTCAGAGAAGTTAGAAAATGTACCCAGGGACATGCAGCTACGAGGTGACGGAGGCAGAAGTCTGACTGAATGAGCCAATCCCATCTCAAAGCACCTGTTTCAACCACATTCTCTACCAGTAAATGGTCTTCCCCCCGCCTTTCCCCCCCATTTTGTTTTAGCTAAGAGAGGCTTTGTTCTCCTGCATATGATGTTGCAGAAGTTTTTAGGACTCTGCCTGGTCATGCCATCTGCCCAGCCTCTGGCTAGATTAAGGTCTGCCCACAAGAAGACTCTGGTGTTTTCTTTTTTCTTTCCTATTCATTTTAAGAAACACAGGGAACCAAGTTATTAAAGGAAACCTATTCTAGATTTTGCTATTTAAGAGGAGAGAGGAACTCAATAATTGCTGCCAGGTAAAAATATTTTTGGAGAAACTAACTTACTGGCAAATAATTTAACTCTGCTTACATATCCACCAGCCCATGGCTCAAGATACACATCATTTGTCACATACACGAGTTTTGCTCTTTATTGCTAAACAGTTTCACAAAGATATGACTTCCTTCTTTGTGACCTACAGTAACCTTTAAAATGTGTTCTTAAAGATCTGTTGAGAACTTAATAAGGGCCAGACAGTGTCCTGAGTATTTGACATACATTATCTCTAACCTTGACACAACCTTCCAAGCAAGCAATCATCACTCCCATTTTACAGATGAGAAAACAGACGTCTGGAACCTTCCTTCGTCAAGTTGGCCAATTTGCTAACAAATAGAACAGGACTCAAACCCTACCTGCCTCACCCAAGAATACTCCCTCATCTCATTACCCAAAATGTGCTCCTGCGGAATTCAAAACAGCTGAGGATAATCCTGGTGAGTTTAACGCTTCTGTCCACACTCGGGAATACATAAGAAGCAAGAGGAAAAGGTTTGTAGCAAGAGGTTGGACTGCTGCAAAGTGGAATCTTCCTGTTGATTCTGACATCAACTTCTTGAGGAAGCAGAACGTTCATAAAACAACAAGGAAGATATGTCCCCCTTTGTGCCTTGGCCAGAGGTCTCAGAGCTTTCAAACTCCCGGCACGGTTTCAGGACCATTCACCCGGTCAGACAGCAGGCGAGGTCAGAAGCAGCAACCTGTTCCCATTCACGTGGGTCTCATCTCCAGGTAATGGCTGCCATGTTCCCTGGCACAGGGGTGCCCAAACTGTAGGCACCATCTTCATGAGAATCACCTGGAGCTCAAGTTAAAAATACAGATTTTGGGGCCTAGTATGTGGGCTCTGGGACAGATATTTTTAATGATTCTCCAGATAATTCTGATGCAAGACCAGGTTTGGGAGCCACTGCCCCATGAGACAAGGATGGGCACGTATACCACTGACCTTCAGCCTTATCCCGAAAGGAGATTTTCAAGTTAATCAGACAAGGGAGCAAAAGTCAGCATGTTACTTTATTCAGGAGAAAAGGACAACTTTATTGAGGAGAAAGCAGTTACCCAGTTTCTCAAGAGAAACTTGAAAGAGGAATGGTAGCCTGAGAGGAATCACGGACAAATAAGGGAAGACCCTCACTGCCAGCAGGGATTTGCTCAGAGAAAAGGACCCGATAAAAATCATGTTCCCTCCCTGAGCCCTGGTTTCCACAATTATGAAAAGAGCCCACTGGATGTCTATCTAGCAAGGCTACTATGAATAATCATGCAACATATGATGGTTAAAACTAGTCCTTAGGATGAAGAAAATGCTTCTGTCAGTTGTACCACTGATAATTCTGCCTCATTCCCAGAAAGGAGCAGAGTGTCTCAGACATTAAGAAACACCGGGGTGCCAGCCCTGTGGCCAAGTGGTCAGGTTCGCGTGTTCCCCTTCAGCAGCGTGGGGTTTGCTGGTTTGGATCCTGGGCATGGACATATAACCTGCTCATCAAGCCAAGCTCTGCCAGCATCCTGCATAGAAGAACTAGAATGACTTACAACTAGGATATACAACTCTCTACTGGGACTTTGGGGAGGGAAAAAAAAAAAGAGGAAGACTGGCAACAGATGTTAGCTCTAGGCAAGTCTTCCTCACCAAAAAAAAAAAAAAAAAGGAAAGAAAGAGAAACACCAGGAAATTTGTAGTCAGGGTTTAAAACTAACTCTGCTTTGAAATCATTGAGAATCTTTACCAAGATCTGTACTTGTTAGTGAGTTCTCCACTTCTCTTTTAGCATTGTTTTGAACATGAAATGAGTTAATGCTTTATATGTACTAACTACACATAAATATAGAAACCATTTAGAACAACGACTAGCTGAACAGTGACTAGTGCAAATGCTCAGTAAAGATGAGCTTTTATGACTGTTAAGACATATACACTATTGCCCAGAGAAAACACAACATGGTCTTCTAGCAAGAAAAAGCATTACAGAAAAGCCAAGCATTTTTTTACCATTCTATAGCTGTCCTACGAAACACTGTTCTTGACAGGTCAGAATCGTTCTTTCTACTGGGCTGATGACAGTCTTTGGGGAAGAACACCAATCCCACCTTCTGGACACTCATCATCAGGTCCCCTGTCTGAGTTCTTACCATTCTTGCAGATGCTGACATTCAAAACTCCTGAGCCCAAGCAGTTTCCTTCAGGTATGCAGAAGCCGGCATTGTCGGAGGTATTGGCTAATATTTCTGCGGGCACCTTATACCGAAGGGCAGGCAGTCCCCGGACACTCTCAAAGTCACTGAAAGTTATATACACTGACCTGTTAGGAGGTAAGATTATAAAGTCAATGTGGGCTCCAGTCAGTGTCATCTGCCCCAAATCAGTAAGCTAGCATCCGTTCTCAGGTACAACGTGGCTGAAAGCTTACGGGGTCAGTGGAAAATGAAGATGCAAAAGAAAGCTTGAAAGGAGCTCAACCCACTCAATGTGTCATAAAGTAGAAGATGAACTGGATTGAAAGATGCCTAAGATGTAGCAACTATGATAATATCCAAACAAGGCCAAGATAAAAAAAATAATGTATGGTAGAAAATTAAGAAGATGACCTTTCGAATGGAGACGCATGTTGAGAGAAATAAAAGAGCCATGTAGACCAGCATGGACACATGGCAGCGTGGATGAAGCAGAAGCAAAGAAAAGGCAGCAGAGAGGCGGCAGAGGAGCAGGAGCAGACCAGACAGCGAAGGGTTTGGCCTGGAGGATTCCCAGGGCCTGGAAAAGCACCACATTAGACAGATACTTGATCAGGAGGCATCCTTTGATACCCATTTCCCCCAAATAAAAATAGTTTCTATATTTCTCCCCAGTCATTTATTTCAATGGAGTTCAAACAATTCTGCCTTCAGTTGTTACAGAGTTTCAAACAGGAGACCCATATCACACTAACCATCCTCCTATTCGCATGGCCCCTGAGTAACTAACTGACAAAGCCCTTTCCCCTGAAGGCCGAGGGGAAGGGCTCCAGGTGCCTCACTTTTTCACCTTGGGACCAGATGAATCCATCTCTCGCAGGGTTGTGAATAACACGGATGTTGCCATCCACTGCACATCCCACCTCTACAACGTTTTTTTAATGAAATATTTTAAGCAAACAAAAATAGAGAAAATATTATAATAAATACCTTTTATAACAAATACCATTCAGATAAATGGAAAATATATTATGGATACAACTGAAGCTCTCTGTGCAGCACTCCCGATTCTAGTCCTTCTCTGTGTCCTTAGAGGTAACCGCTCTCCTGAATTTGGGGTTTATCCTTCCCATTCAGGTCTTTACACTTTTACATACATGCCTACTCATAAACAATATGTGGCACTGTTTGCTATTTCTAAGTGTTATATAAACAGTATGCTATATTCTCTTTCTGTAATTTGCTTTCTCATTCACTGTTATATTTTTAGGATGTATTACATGAATGTACATAACTCTGTTTCTTGCATTTTAAATCCCTTATGATATTCCATCATATGAATATACCACTATTTATTTATATTCTCCTTTTTATAAGCACTTGTATTGCTTCCAATTTTTCACTACTACAAGCAATGTTGCAATGAACATTGCTGTATATGTCTCCTTGCATTTATATACAGACTTCTTCAGGCCTGGAACCTACTAGAAGAAAACTGAAGAATGATGGAGTTTCCATGTCTTTGGTTTACTAAACATTGCCACTGGCTCTTCAAAGTGGTTGTACCAGATAAGAGTGTGTTTCCTCTGTGCCAAATCTTTTTTAAAGACCTCCTACTGTCCTCCTAGGTTCCCGTGTTCCATTCATTGCACTCAATTGTGCTTTCTCTCCCTTCAGTCCTTCCACAAACATTTGTTAAAGACACCGGCCAGCCTGAAGGTGACTGGGCTATTCTGTAGGAGAGATGGAAAGGGTCTAGATGGTGGTACAGATGGCGGAGTGGAGAGGTGGGGATGAACGTAAGAACTATTTCTGAGCAGGAACTGACAGCACTTGGTGACTGATTACACGCAAAAGAGAGGTGAAATTTACAGCACCACTGACGCTTCTGGCAGGGCTGACTGGGTAGGTGGTGCGATTATGTAAGCTATGAGACCCCAGGAGGATGGCCGTGTTTGAGAATATTGAATCAACAGTGTCCACTGAGACTAGGTCACTCAGACTTTGAGGAGAAGTTTCACAGAAAGCCTTGCAGGACTGAGTGGGAGAGGAAATGGAGGCTGCGTGAGGAAGCCACTCATCCAAGCAGTTTGAGGATGAAGGGCGGGAGGTGGAGCAGACAATGCGAGAGGGGAACCAGGGTGGAGAGGAGGCTGCTTTCTTCCCACCGAGGAGACTCAATCACATTCATGTGTAGAGAAGGAGCAGGCAGGAGAGAGGGAGGGATTACAGGGCAAGGGAGGGCAAATACGATCGAGGGGAAGGTTACAGGTGAGCAAACAGCTACAAACTCGGAAAGAGGGGCAGCAGTATGATTTACTTATCTTCTAGGTAGCGATTACCTGTTGACTGGAAAAAGACTAGGTCAAATTTCCTGCTTGACAGAGTGTATCATAAGAACTGACAGCAACACTTAATATTATTTCCTGTGTGACAGACCCTGGGCTAAGTATTTTACTAACAGTAACTCATCTGTCCTCATAACAACTCCCAAGGTAGGCAACTATTTCTACCCTCATTTTACAAATGAGGAAACTGAGGCACAGAGTGGCCTCCCTTTCCCAAGGTCACAGCTGTAAGTGGTAGGGCCAATATTCAAACCAATGCAGTCAGGCTCTGCTGTGAACCACGACACCACATAGCCTCTCTACATGCCATCAGCACTTATCACTGATGAAGCATAAATAGCTACACCTGGTAAGTGTAGCTACATGTGGTCTTCACACTTTGGGTGGTCTTGCAGTCAAGGAACTTGTTAAGTTCTTACCTGCAAAAATCAGATGGGAAGACATAAAGGACTTCGTCTCTGGTTATTAACGGATGAAAAGAATCTCCGTCCGTTCCATTAATCATATTGCATCTGTCTGTTGTCCACCAGTCAAGTGACCTGTAATTGATAAGCACAAGCAAGAGTCAAGACAATCAAATTTGATTTTAGATTTTTTCAAATGCTCAGGACTTTTCAAGACTTAACTGGGAGCTGGCTAACCACAGAATTTTATTCATATGCAGACACAGCGTGATATTGGTTAGGGTTGAATCAAGATGGGGAAAAGGAGACCCCTGGTCCCTGAATTTTGATGGAAATGATAGCCAAAAATCCCTCTTTCCTTCCTCCAAAGAAGAGTAGCCTACGTAGAGGTTTAGAAATATCCATTTCCGAAAGCAGTGATCCAACTGAGCACGAACAACAGCCCTGTCCAGAGCCAGCCCACTGAGAGATGAGCTCTGGCCAGATATGCCCACCTCTTCAATATTCATGGCAGGGAATTAACTCTGTCTCCTCGCAGAACAGTTCTCTGTTCCAGAATTAATGGAGGACTCTCCTGGGCCACAAGAAAGCTTAAGATTGAATCAACTTCATACTCGCTAAAAGCACAGTTGAGATAGTAGGGTTTTTAAAGTTAATTTTTTTTAATAATGGCACAAAATGCAAAAGAAAGGAAAGGAGAGGCAATAAATAGTGATTCCCCCAACTTCTGCTCAAGGTGGCCCTCTAAGTTCATGAATCGAGGGCCTCTTCCAAGCACAAACAGAACAGGGGCTGACAAAACCCAAAAGAGAAATTCAGAAGGTCTACACTATACTCAAACACGAACATCTCCCTAGACAGTAAAAAGATGATAAATGCAAAGTGGGGAGTTGGGCTAAAGCTACTGGCCCACAGGGCTGCAGATCTGGAAGCAAGGAGACGAACTGGAAGTTTAGCTCCTGAGGTTAATAAAGATTCAAGGAGGTCCACCAAGGGCTTGAAATCAGGGTCTTCGGGGCAGGGATTCCCTGCTCATTAAGAGAGGCCAGGGGCCGGCCCCATGGCCGAGTGGTTAAGTTCATGCACTCTGCTTCGGCGGCCCAGGGCTTTGCCAGTTTGAATCCTGGGTGCGGACATGGCATCGCTCATCAAGCCATTCTGAGGCGGCATCCCACATGCCACAACTAGAAGGACTCACAACTAAAATACACAACTCTGTACCGGGGGGCTTTGGGGAGAAAAAGGAAAAAATAAAATCTTTAAAAAAAAAAAAAAGAGAGGCCAAAGAAAGCAGCTTCCACCTGCCGTGTGGAGTTAAACAGGTACAAAGCCGAGTCCTGGGGGGCAGGGAGCCCCAGACTGGCCTCATGACCAGAACCTGAGTCCAGCTATGCTGACTGTGGCTGGGTCTGTGATGGCCCTGCAGAGCTGTGGGTAAGAGGCCCACCCGTGTGCACTGGGTGTACAGGGGGCTCCAGGGTGGGTTACGTGGAGGCAACTGCAAAACTACTACATAGGGAGAGGGAAGAGGATAGACGGACAGACACACATTGATACGGACTGACATCCCAACGAAAATAATTCTGCAAATCAACATTGTTTTTTAAAAAAAAATAAAAGCTATGCTAAGAGACAGGCAACAAAATCAACAAGGAGAAGATGAATTCACTTTAGAAGAAATTCAAATACTTGAACAATTTGGCTAATACTTTAAATAAATATATTGTTTAGTATCCTCAAACAGACAAACGAAAGAATAACATCCTTAGAAAATGAATGGTAAATTATTAAAAAGGCAAAAATGAAACAACAGTAGAGAGATCCAAAAAAGGAAAAATAGAATCTTAGAAATAAAGACAGTTTCTGAAAAAAAAACCTCTATATAAAACTCTAGACAGTACATAACTAGAGAGAGATGGTTAATTGGAAGATAGTTCTAAGTAATTTGTTCAAAAAAATGAAAAATTAAAAGATTAAGATACAGAGAATAGATTGGGAGGCTCCGATAAAGGTTTAATAGATTTTGGGGGGGAGGGTGAGACTAGAGTAAATAACAGAGAAGCAGTAAGTTAAGAGAGAACTGCTGAAAGTTTTCCAAACTTTAAGAAAGATATGAGGCCTTGGATTGAAAGCATGCCCCAAGGGCCAAACAGGATAAATAAAAATAAATTCAAATCTGATATGTTGTAGTAAAACTGTAAAAGGCCAAGGAAAAGAATAGATATTAAAAGCCAATGGAGGGGGGCCAGCCTGGCGGCACAGAGGTTAAGTTCCCATGCTCCGCTTCGATGGCCCGGGCTTCACGGGTTCGGATCCCGGGTGCAGACACGGCACTGCTTGTCAAGCCATGCTGTGGTAGGCGTCCCACATATAAAGTAGAGGAAGATGGGCATGGATGTTAGCTCAGGGCCAGTCTTCCTCAGCAAAAAGAGGAGGATTGGCAGCAGACGTTAGCTCAGGGCTAATCTTCCTCAAAAAAGAAAAGTGTCCAGACATCACAAAACGTCCCCTGGGGGTGCAAAACTGCCTCTGGTTGAGAACCAATGTACAAATGGGAAAAAAAATTAATAAAATATGTTGGTACATTTAATTATTTACTATAAAAATAATGAAATTTTTACTCATATTTGGCTTCCTAAGACAGCAAAACAAGTTGTAGAGAAGAATAACATGGAAGATGTGTGTGCGTTAAGAAATGAGTAAACTTACCATCCTGTTTGGAAGGAAAAGACAGACAACAAATAGCTTTAGACTTTGTTAGGAAAATATTGTTAAACATGAATCATAAAAATCTAAGGATAGAATAGACATAAACAAAAAAAAGTCCAAATATATTAAATAATATATCATTATACCGTAAATATGCCAGTAATTATAACATGTATATAAAAGGATTAAACTCTCCTATTAAAAGACTGGAAAGAAAATAGATTGTGTTTAAAACAAAATCCAGCTATATCCTGTTTACAAGTAAATTTCCCTCCCGGCCCAGCATCCCAGTCATCCAGCTGCCCCTCCACAGGCAACACTGTTGCCAGTTCCTTGGGAGTTCCTTGCAAGCATGTTTAGTACAGAGACGTGTGTACTTTTTAAAATTTAAATAAGCCTCTTATTTAAAAATAGTTTGAGATTTACAGAAAAGTTGCAAAGATAGCACAGAGTTCCCCTATATTTCACACCAGTTTTTTGCCTGTATTCCTGGGAAGCTTAGAAGTAAATTTAATATTCAAGAATAGAACTCTGACCTCAGTCCCTGAAGAAGTAGCTTCCTTTTCTCTCAAAGGTTTCTAATTTCTCTGACAAAAAATTATCTTATTTTATATATAGCTTTATTGCAAGCTGCCTCAGCTCCTTTTTGGAAGTAGTTTTTTTATAAGTTATAAATATTATAATAAATTTTTGAAATGCTATAATACTGAACTCAAACGTATTTCATCTTCAAAGAAAAATACACAAACAAGCCACAATCACTAAATCAAATTAAAAAATGAACTTCTTCCCTTCCCCCAAAAGATGTGTGCATAGAGGTTTGAAAGTATTTATGCTGCAGCTACACGGCATTCAATGACTAAGCAGAAGAGTGACACTTTCACTGGCCGGTAATTCACACCGAGCCATGATAAATCTACAAATCATTAATATTTCATTTGTAAAGTACATAATGCCAATGCTGATTTATAAAATAATAATTATAAAGTTATTTTACATATTTATAGATTTCTCATCCAAAAACTTTTCAGTGCTAGAATTTTTTTGAAATAATGCATAAGTGGATGCTCACTTTAAATGAAAATTGAAAAACTAATTACACTGATAAATCATCAGACTTACGTTTTTCCATTCCATTCCACAATCTTTGAAAAGTTAAGGTAATTGTCTTCTCCAGTTAGAAAGACATAGTCTCCATCATTAGTACCATTTTTCTGAAAATAAGCAAATAGGATCATTTAAAGTAACTGTGATGGTTAATTTTACGTGTCAACTTGGCTAGGCTATGGTGCCCAGCTGTTTGGTCAAACACTAGTCCAGATGTTGCTGTATTCTGGAGATGTGGTTAACATTTACAGTCAGTTGACTTTAAGTACAAGAGATTACCATCGATAATGTGGGTGAGCTCAGCCAATCAGCTGAAGGCTTTACAAACAAAATGTGAGGTTCCTGGAGAAAAAGGAAGTCTCGAGACTGCAACATAGAAATCTGTCTGAGTTTCCAGCCTGCCAGCCTGTCCTATGGATTCCAGACTTGCCACTTGCCGGTCCCCACAACTGCATAGCATAGACATGATCTCCCATTGTTTCTGTCTCTCTGGAGAACCCTGACACAGTAACTAGCAAATTTAATCTTCATGAGACTGTTCTAGTGGGGCCTAATTGCTATGTGAGGCTGAAACAGAACTAAGGAATAGAGTGATTGTTTTGCTAAATATCACATTAACTGTATTATTACTTTATGGTTTTAAAAAGTATGAGTCTAATTAAATAATGGACAAAGGATTTAAAGAGATATTTCTCCAAAGAAAAAACATTCAATGGCCAATAAGTACATAAAAAGATGCTTAACATCATTAGTTATTCGGGAAACGCAAATCAAAAACCACGAGGTACTACTTCACGCCCACTAGGATGGGAATAAATAAAAAAGGAAATAACAAGTGTTGGTGAGGACATAGAGAAATTTGAGCCTTCATACACTGCTGGTGGCAATGTAAAATGTTGCAGCTACTGTGGAAGACAGCAGTTTGGCAACTCTTCAAAAAGTTAAACATAAAATTATCAAATGACCCAAAAATTCCACTTCTATGTGTATATAGCCAAAAGAATTCCACTTCAAGTTCTACATCCAATGTTCACACAAAAACTTGTACACAAATGTTCACAGCATAGCAACATTATTCAAAACAGCCAAAAAGTAAAAACAACCCAAATCAACTGACGAACAGATAAACCAAGTGTGGTATCCATACAACGGAATATTACTTGGCCATAAAAAGGAATGAAGTGCTGATACATGCTACAACATGGACCAACCTTGTAAACATTATGCTAAATAAAAGAAGCCAGACACAAAGGTCATATGTTGTATGATTCCATTTATATGAATATCCATAATATATGACCGTCCAACTTGTATATGCAGGTCCCACTGCCAGAGATGGTTCCACCTCAGAAGGGTGCCTCTTAGCCCCTATTTGTGTCATGGGCATGTGTGTTGAGTTATTTTATTTTATTTTTCGCCTAACAAAGCCAAACTCCATTCCCAAATGCCCTTCCTCTCTGGCTCTGAGGAAGCTCCTACACAGAGAGTGTCCGGCTCCTCTCCTCTCAGGACCAGGCCAGTCTGGCCTCTGTTGCCCAGGACCAGTGGTCCCAGCACCCCACAGGGGCAGGAGAGAGGCTGGGCAGGGAGGGGTTTGCTTATGTTTTGTTTCAAACAAAAAACACAACCTTACTTTTCTTTACAAAACCAAAAAAGATTCCAACCTTTGAACTATAAAAAAAAAAATTCTATGGGTTCATAGGCAAATCCGTAGAGACAGAAAGTAGATCAGTGGGTGCTGGGGCCATCCCACTGGTGGGAGAGGGGAACAGAAGTGACTGCTAACGGGTCTGTGAGTTTTTTGGGGGATGATGAAAATGTTCTAGAATTAGACAGTGGTGGTGGTTGCACAACCTTGTGAATATACTAAAACCCACTAAATTGTAGACTTTAGGATGAAGAATTTTGTGGGAAATGAATTATATCTCAATAATAGAAAATAAGAAAGCCTAAGTCTGGGGCCAGGACTCAGTTATGCATGAACAGCCGCACTAGAAGAGAGCAGTGTGAATACAGCCCCATTTTCAGTTTAGCGTTCTTCAGCTGTGTATTCTCTCCAAGTTACACTTCTTAAGGGCACATACAGCCACTCCATACATTTTTACAAATTCTTTATCTGGGGATGGAATTTTGATTTCTGGGAAATCGCATGAGTACTAGCTCCTCCATAATAATAAAGTAATAGGAGCTAACAATTATTGAGTATTTATAATATGCCTGGCACTGATGTGAAATTTTTGCATGAATTATCTCATGAAATCCTCACAACCATCACATAAGATAGTGTGGTAGACAGAATAACGGCCCCCCCAAAGACGTCCACGTCCTAACCCTATATGTTAAATGTATATACTATATATTATCATAGTTATATATATTACACATATTATATATGTACATTACATATATACATATATTATATACACAATTTTTACTCATATATACAATTGTGTATATATACACAATAGATGTATATATCTGAATATACATATATTCATATATACTTTTTTACTTAAGTGTGTAAAATATTTCCCATGTTATCTAAATTTCTTTATAGATACAATTTAATAGCTTCATAATATTATATGGAAATAATTTATTTAACCATTCTCTTATTATTCAATATTTAGATCTGAAGTTTTCTGCTACTATAAATAACGTTATATGAATATCTTTATGCCTAAAAACCTTTTTGGTACTTTTTTCTAAACAAACCAATAAAAGTAAAATTACTAGATAAAAGAACATGAACATTTTTAAGCCTTTCGAGACACAACCAAGTTATTCAAGGTCACCCAGCTGGAAAGTGGTGGAAATAGCAGAATAAATCAGTTTACATTCCTCAAGTCACTTTTGTTAAACTTTGCTAAACTTCTGTTAAACAAAAAAATCGTTTATCCTTTTTTACATTTCTGTATTCACTGAGCCTAAACTTTTTTTCTCATGTCATTTAGCTGTTCACCTTAAAAAACTTTCATACTCTTTGTGAATTCTCTTTTCACGTTTTTTGCCCACTTGGGTTCTTCTTTTTGTCACTTACCATTATTTCACCAACTATGTCAATATATCAACATGGTCCACCTACTTAATGGTCATGTTGTGCCCACATATGAAATCTTACGTGACTTTAAGACATGAGAAAGGACTCCTCTCTAAAAGCAGCAATGTGAACATTACAACAATTTAGGAGCAAATTCAAATACCCCATATAAAAAACGCTGAACCAGCAATTCAAAAAATGCATATATATTGTTTGTTGAAGTTCTCCACTTAAGTCAGATGTGGGCTAAATGTTTCAGAGTATCTCAAAAAGGGTTCTGTCCAGCTGTTATCTGCCTGTCAGGCACTGAATGTGAATGCTTTCCCATCTCTGACTAGAACTTTTATTATTTGAAGACAAGCAGGAATAAACAGGTTTTGTGTTATGGCGGTAAGGATGTGGGTTGAATTCAAGGAACATATTACTGCAGGAGGCTGAGAAATGTTCTTTCCTACGGATGCCTGAGAACAAGCCTACACCCTCCATAGCACTAGCATAATCCAAGCATAATCCATCCTCCCAGGGGGACTAGCTGGACTGGCTGATCTCTCAAAGATACTTCCCAACAAGTATAATTTAATACATCCAAGAACCCACACTCGGTAGGAAGCACTTGAATTCTCTTATGCCAGGGAGAAGAGAGGTGCCCTAAAATCAATGAGTATAGATACGGTGATAGGCCTTGCCATTTGCAAATAAGAGCATCTGATATTTAGTCAGGTCCCTTTTCTCAGGAGTTCTGTGCCCATACTCTCTACATTCACCTCATCCTATTCATTCTCACACCCTGACGTGTCCATTAATTGTTTGGTTGTTCATCACTGAAGTCTTTGCAGGAACAGAGTTCAACAGCGGTAACTAAGGTTTTCTTTCTGCATCACACTGTGTAGAGGAGCAGGTGGACAGGCGTACAGGCCCAGCGCATCAGAGGGGCAGGCCAGCGGAATGCGACTAGGATTAAGAGACTTGAGGCCGGGCTCCGGGGGTGCAGACAGTGGGTGCGCAGCGAAGCCAGTGAAGGTGTGCACAGCCTAGCAAAGTCTCGGAATGAATGACGGCTCAAGCGTGAACTTCTGTGCTCCTGGCTAAAGAGCTGGTATTTGGCCAGAACAGATGAAAAACAACAAAAAAACAGTGCCTTTTTTTAAACCAACAACACTACAGACAGTTTATCTGGCTCCAAAATGGAAACATACTAGTCTTTCACATTAATTCAGGATCATTTTCTGAGCCAGTCATGGAGGGGAAAAGGAATCACGGTTCTTAAACCGTGTATCGCAATTCATAGTTTGCACAGCACTTTCATGGACTTCTCACTGAGCCTTTCAAAACGGCCTTTGAAGTGTGGGTACTTTTAGTCTCTAGTCACAAGTGATGAAACTGAGGTTCAGAAAAGTCCCACAGTTATAACATGAAAAAGTCAGAACGCAAATCTAGGTCCTCCGAGACTAAGTCCCATGCTCTCGTCCCAGAGGTGGGAAATCCTCTCAAGGTACTAAGCTAACTGAGCAATGGTCCAGGGCTTTTCACCCTGAGGCCTTGTGGAGATCCAGGGGTGCTTGCAAAAAAGAAGCAAAGGTTACGGACAGAGAAAGAGAAAACAGTAATAAAACAACACATCCTTGCCATGGGGAAGCAGAAATGCAAAGTTCCTAATCAGTCTATAAATGTGGGTTAACTTTTTAAAAAATATAAGGATATTAGTTATAAGTCCAATGAAGTCATGATGTAAAAACAAAAAAGCAAATTATACCATGAAAATTATTTGAAAAATACTGAGGTATGGGGAACAGGATCTACTTGGTGGATGGACAGAAGCCACTGGGACCAAAAAGGGCTTCAGGAAACCTTTGTATCTCTCTGTAGGAGTTCTCCTGAAATTATTTCTAGAAGGGAGGTTTAATCTCAGCTTAACAAGAAATCAGCACTTCCTCTGGTCCTGTGGAAGCTGGGTGCCTATGAGATGGGACCTTCTAGGGATCATCTATTGGGTCTGCTCACCCAGAGTAAAGGATTTAGGGTTACCAGGACCCTACTCCTGGGATCTTGCATAGATAATGTTAAAAACTTGTGTACTATTTTTTTTTTCTTTGAGGAAGATTAGCCCTGAGCTAACATCTGCTGCCAATCCTCCTCTTTTTGCTGAGAAAGACTGGCCCTGAGCTAACATCCATGCCCATCTTCCTCTACTTTATACATGGGACGCCTGCCACAGCGTGGCTTGCCAAGCAGTGCCACGTCCTCACCCAGGATCCGAAACGGTGAACCCCAGGCTGCCAAGAAGCGGAACACGCGCATTTAACCGCTGTGCCATGGGGCCGGCTCAACTTGTGTACTATTTTGTTTGAACAATTTCTAAGTTTTGTATATCCCTGAATGCACAGGGGCAGTGTTAGCCCCTTTTGCCATAGAGGAACTGAAATGCTAAGGGATTACATGAGGGTGAGACTGAGTAGTTAGAGCCGGACAGCAGCTACAGACTTAAAGATGGGGAAACTCATCGCAATTCCAGCACCCACCCTCATCTAACACTTTCTTCTTGAGTTTAAGTTTGTCATTTACCAACCTCCCAACTATCCATTTTACTCAAGTTTTTTGGGGGGTGTGGGGTTCAATGTGGATTTTTTAATTGATTTTCATTTTAATTCATTTGAAATCATTCCGCAGCAATAACATATGCTTTGAATAATAATTACTTGAATGCTGATATTTTGGGTTTTGAGCCAAAGTAAATAAAATCTGCAAAGAATGACACAAAATTCTATTACAAGCATAAGGAACCACAGATGAAGGATGTACAGTTCCAATTTATCCAGCATCTTTCACAAATGACATGTCTGAAAATCCAACAAGTAGCTCCTACCTCTAACAGACTATCACGTCCCTGTTTAGTTTCTTATTTGTCTGTCAGGCTGATCCATGGGGTTAGGCCTCAAGTCATTAAAATGAGACCCAGGATTGAACACTGAAATTTACGACACTTTGTAAAATTACACCTGACTAATGGCACAGCCAAATTTTTCATTCAAAGTCAGTGCTGGTAACACACTGAAATTGTAGAAGTTCTCCTTTTTTCTCTACTAAAACCCTTTCTTATTTTTCAAGTATGCTACAGAATTCCAGGCAATTTTGGTCTTCCGGAAGAAACCCAAGGTGAAGAGGAATCTGGCTTGGGGGTGCCCCCCATCAGCCAAATAAGGACGATCTGAAAAGAAAAATCAACTTACCCCATAGAACAGGCCAAAATAGGGAGAGATGTCAGGTTTGAAAATGTTGATGAGGGACAAGATCTCATCTTTGTAGCCCCAGAGCAGTTCGTCAACGGTGTGCGTCACAAAGAGCTTCTGCTGGTAGGCCTTCAACAGAGCCTCGATGAGCTCCCGGAGGATGTGGAGCTGGGCCAACTGCATGGCGGTCTGAGGAGCACAGGGAAATTCAGATAGCAGCGTCCCCACCCCAATCTCCTCCACTGCCCCTTCAGCAAAGGGGACTGGAAACTTAAAAGTAAATGTTGAAATGCAATAGCTGAAAAATCAGCCAGCAAGCTCCTTTCTGGCTGTGTGTGCAAGCTATTGTCCTTTCTCAGTATGACACTGTCCTTTCTCAACATGACATTTTGTCAGCGTGAGCTTAGCATCCCCACTTGCAGCTCTGACTTACCCCACGCTGCAGAGGGAAAGGGAAAAACTCTTCCAAATACACTGCCATCTTTGGCCACAAGGTGGCGCTACCTTCCTCCTGATTGGGGCCAGAGGCTGGCCCTCATAAACGCTACAGAACTAGGTAGCAGGACAGGGCTACATCTGGGATCTAACACTTTCTAGGTCCTGGGTCCATCACCAGTGTCCAGCTGTATATGTAGAGGTCCCCTAGAAGTTAGAGTGTGAGCCTCAGAGGGGGTTGGTGTCAGTGAACAGGAAAGCTTCCTGGGTCTCAAGTGTGATGTTATTTCATCAAATTGACATTCTAAACACAGCCCAGTGAAATCACTCTAGGTTGGAATCAACAGTCCAGCCTCCGCTATTCGGAAAGGGGGAAAACAGTCAATATATATTTTGTGAATTTAAAAATCCAAGACAGAAATACAAACTAAGAATTGGTATTTAGATTCCATTGCTGCAGTTTCTGAACCAAAACAGGGGGAAATAAATATTTTTTAAATTATTAACTACCCTTCCAAAATCCTAGGGACATGTTTATTTGCACAAGTGATGATCCTGAACACACAACAAGAAATTGTAAAAAAAAAAGCTAAAACTTGCATTTTGTCACCATTTGAAAAGACCTTGTTTGAAAGACCTCAGAAAAACGTCTAAGAGGAATTTTAAACGGAAGGGGAAAATGTATCTGTCTATTTATATACGTATATTTTTAACACAATTTCATAACTCCTATATGTAAAACCATAATGGCCTTAACTTAGCTTTTTCCTTTCTTCTAAAATCCACAGTCATGATACTGAAAATGCCTACTTACCAATGCAGGAATATTTAATGTTCTAATTAAGTCCGTTTTAGCATCTCCAACAGATTGGTTCCGTTCAAAAACATAGGCCTTGTTGCTAACAGCAGATATTGTCCCATTATCTCCAAATTCAATATCTGCTTTGTTTCTGAGTTCCCTAAAAGAAAGAAAGGATTTTGTTTGAAAATAGGCACCAGTTTAATAAATAATACTTTACTTTTCTTTTCTTTCAGAAGCAGTTATTTTCAATGTAACAGTTCCGATATAACCATATATAAAGACTGCAAATACGGACCCCTCAAAAACTGGAGATTCAAGCTGCAACGTGGGAAGGAAATGAGGCCCAGGACAGAGTCCTCTCAAAAAAATGATTGTTTTCATTCTTTCTTCCTCAACTTGGGAAATGCTACCGTTATGAGTCACTTTGACCAGGGAATCAAAGTCAGTGAACTCTCTTCTGGGTTAGGGTTTGGTCCTCAAATATTTTCAGTGCATCGATTCAGTGTGAATTGCAATTTGTTTACCAGTGTCTTTTTATTTCTAACTGAATTCAGATGAAAATTCACTTAACAAAATGAATGCGCCATCCCCAAACTGTGGAATACATATTCTTTTCAAGCTCACATGGAACATTCTCCAGGACTGATCACATGTTAGGCCCCAAAACAAGACTCAATAATCTTAAGAAGACTGAAATCCTACTTGAGCAACCTTTCTAACCACAATGGTATGAAACTAGAAAAAAGTTACAAGAAGAAAACTGGGGGGTAAAAAAGCAGTTCTAAGAGGGAAGTTCATAGCGATACAGGCCTACTTCAAGAAACAAGAAAAATCTCAAATAAACAATCCAACTTTACATCTAAAGGAATGAGGAAAAGAACAAATAAAGCCCAAAGTTAGTAGAAGGAAGGAAATAATAAAGACCAGAGTGGAAATAAATGAAATAGAGACTAAAACAACAATAGAAAAGATCAATGAAACTAAAAGCTGGTTCTTTGAAAAGATAAATAAAATCGACAAAACTTTAGCCAGAATCATGAAAAAAAAAGAGAGAGAGCCCAAGTAAACAAAATCAGAAATGAAGAAGAATTTACAACTGACACCACAGAAATACAAAGAATCATAGGTGATTACCATAAACAATTACATGCCAACAAATTGGACAACCTATAAGAAATGGAGAAATTCCTAGAAACACAACCTTCAAACACTGAATCATGAAGAAAATAGGAAATCTGAATAGAAGTATTACAAGTAATGAAAATGAATGAAATTTAAAAACTCCTAAAAAGCAAAGATCCAGGACCAGATGGCTTCACAGGTGAATTCTACGAAACAATTAAATAAGCGTTAATACCTATCCTTCTCAATTTTTTCTAAAAAGTTGAAGAGGAAGGGACATTTCCAAACTCAATTTATGAGGCCAGCATTACCCTGATACCAAAACCAGACAAAGACACCACAAAAACAGAAAATTACAGGTTAATATCCCCGATGAACATAGATGCAAAAATCCTCAACAAAATATTAGCAAAACAAATTCAACAATACATTAAAAGGATGATACACCATGATCAAGTGGGATTTATTCCAGGGATGCAAGGAAAGTTCAACATCCACCAATCAATCAATGTGGTAGACGACATTAACAAAATGAAGGATAAAAATCCTATGATCATCTCAACAGATGCAGAAAAAGCATTTGACAAAATTCAACATCCACTTATGATAAAAAAAAAAAACTCTCAACAATGTGGGTATAGAAGGAACGTACCTCAACACAATAAAGGCCATATATGACAAACCCACAACTAACATCAAACTCAAGAGTCAAAAACTGAAAGCTTTTCCTCTAAGATCAGGAACGAGACAAGGATGCCCACTCTCATCACTTTGATTGAACAAAGTATTGGAAGTCCTAGCCACAGCAATTAGGCAAGAAAAAGAAAGAAAAGGCATCCAAATTGGAAAGGAAGAAATAAAACTGTCTCTATTTGCAAATGAAATGATACTATATATATAAAACCCTAAAGACTCCACCAAATAACTAATAAAACTAATAAATGAATCCAGTAAAGTTGTAGGATACAAAATTAATATACAGAAATTAGTTGTGTTTCTAAACACTAATAACAAGTTGTGAGAAAGAGAATTTAAGAAAACAATCCCATTTACAATTGCATCAAAAAAAAAAAAAAAATACCTAGGAATAAATTTAACCCAGAAGGTGAAAGACCTATACACTGAAAACTATACGACATTGATGAAAGAAATTGAAGATGACAGAAAGACATGGGAACACATATTGTGCTCACGGATTGGAAGAATTAATATTGTTAAAATAGCCATGTTACCCCAAACAATGCACAGGTTCAATGCAATCCCTATCAAAATACCAATGGCATTTTTCACAGAACTAGAATATAGAATCCTAAAATTTGTATGGAACCCTAAAAGACCCCAGATAGCCAAAGAAATCTTGAGAAAGAAGAACAAAGCTAGAGGTATCACACTCCCTGATTTCAAACTATAATACAAAGATATAGTAATCAAAACAGCATGGTATTAGCAAAAAAGAGACACATAAATCAATGGAACAGAATACAGAGCCCAGAAATAAACCTATGCATATATGGTCAATTAATCAATGACAAAGAAGGCAAGAATATACAATGGGAAGAAGACAGTCTCTTTAAAAAATGGTGCTGGGAACATGGATTGGAAGAATAAACACAGTTAAAATGTCCATGCTACCTAAAGCAATCTACAGATTCAATGCAATCCCAATCAGAATCCCAATGACATTCTTCACAGAAATAGAACAAAGAATCTTAAAATTCATCTGGGTCAATAAAAGACCCCAAATAGCCAAAGCAATCCTGAAAAATAAGAACAAAGCTGGTGGTACCGCAATCTCTGAGTTCAAAATATACCACAAAGCTACAGTAATCAAAACAGCATGGTACTAGTATAAGAACAGACACACAGATCAATGGAACAGAAGTGACAACCCAGAAATAAAACCACACATCTATGGACGGCTAATCTTCAACAAAGGAGCCAAGAACATATACTGGAGAACGGAAAGTCTCTTCAGCAAATGGTGTTGGGAAAACTGGGCAGCCACATGTAAAAGAATGAAAGCAGACCGTTATCTTACACCATGCATAAAAATAGACTCAAAATGGACCAAAGACTTGAAGGTAAGGCCTGAAACCATAAAACTTCTGGAAGAGAATATAGGCAGTACACACTTTGAGATCAGACTTAAAAGGATCTTTTTGAATACCATATCTACTCAGACAAGGGAAACAAAAGAAAAAATAAATAAGTGGGACTTCATCAGACTAAAGAGCTTCTGGAAGGCAAAGGAAACCAAGATTAAAATGAAAAAACAACACACCAACTTGGAGAAAATATTTGCAAATCATATATCCCATAAGAGGTTAATCTCCATAATATATAAAGAGCTCACATGAACTACAAAAAAACAACTCAGTCAAAAAGTGGGCAGAAGATATGAACAGACACTTTTCCAAAGAAGATATATGGATGGCCAATAGGCACATGAAAAGATGCTCAACATCACTAATCATCAGGGAAATGCGAACTTTCTCCTTCTCAGCAGGGGGAGCAAAATGGCGGGGTGAGCTGACCGGGGACTCTCTCCCCTCCAAACTACAACAAAGGATTACAAAAACTGAATTTCAGATAATAAATCTAATGCCAGGACGTCAGAGACCTACAGTACCAAGAAGACGGAGGATGGAGACCTTGCAGCAGGCCATGGAGGAGCTGGAACGGGTAGGAGAGAACTTCGCTCCCCTCCCTAGAGACGGGGGATCGCTGTCAGGGGGGAGCGAAGGAGCAGGGGAGGGGCCGTGGGATCGTCAAGTACTCCTGCCGCTGGTGCAGTGGAAACCCGCTGACGGGGGAAAGCTTCTGTGCGCAGGGACCCCATAAACCCAGGGCCCCGGGAGACCAGAGAACAGAACTGATCCGAATCCAGATCAGCATGTGAGAAAAACAGCCCCTCCCCCCCCAACCCGGGCAAAGTGCACTGGGTGCCGCCATCTTGCCAGAAGGCGGAGAGCTCAGAACACACGGCTCTCGACCCCCATCTAGTGGTGACAGGCTGTAACTGCAACCGAATTCTACCACCATGCGAAAAAACCACTCCTCTACCATCCAGCAATTTATAAAAGCCCCAGACCAGAAGGAAAACCATAGAAACACAGAATTAAGTCCTGAGGACTTGGAATTAGGTAAACTAAGTGAAAATGAGTTCAGAGCAGCTATAATAAAAAAACTCAGTGAGGTAGAGAGAAAGATAGAGAAACAAGCCGAGTTCTGGAGTTACTTCACAAAAGATTGAAATTATAAAGAAGAATCAAACAGAATTACTAGAGATGAAAAACACAATGGACCAGATAAAACAGAATACAGATTCCCTGAATGCTCATGTAGACACCATAGAGGAGCAAATTAACATAATCGAGGACAGACAGGCTGAATGGCGCCAGACAGAGGAAGAAAGAGAACTAAGAATTAAAAAAAAATGAGGAAAATCTCCAAGAGATAGTGGATTCAATGAGGAGAAATAACTTAAGGATCATAGGAATTCCCGAGAATGTGGAAAAGGAAAATGGAGCAGAAAGTGTGCTTAATGAAATTATAGAAGAGAACTTCCCAAATCTAGGGATTGACGGAGCAATGTGTGTAGAGGAAGTTTTCAGATCTCCTAGATTTATCAATGTAAAAAGACCTACTGCAAGGCACATAGTAGTACAAATGGCAAAAATGAAAGACAAAGAAAGAATACTCAGGGCAGCAAGACAGAAGAAAATAACCTACAAAGGATCTCCTATCAGACTTTCAGCGGATTTCTCTACAGAAACCTTACAAGCTAGGAGAGAATGGAGTGCATATTCAAAGCTTTAAAAGATAAAAATCTTCAGCCAATAATACTCTATCCAGCAAGAATATCCTTCAGATATGAGAGAGAAATTAAATCTTTTCCAGACAAACAGAAGTTAAGGGAATTTGTAACTAAAAGTCCTCCACTACAAGAAATCCTCAAGAAGGCTCTCATACCTGAAAAAAGAAAAAAGGGAGAAAGGGGTCACAAACCACAGAGTAGGGAGACAGATGGATAGA